AAAAAAAAAAAAACCTTTCGCAATGGCTCTGCTTCTCTGTTTGTAGCATGTTCAAAGCCTAAGTCTGATATTATACTTTTGGAATACAGAAAAAACAAATAAATATTATTAATTCAGACAGACTTCAAGAAAGATGCTTACCACATTCAACAGATTCATCCGAACCATCTCCACAGTCGTCGTCATGGTCACAAACAAAGTGCTTTGGAATGCAGCCTTTGTTAAGGCATCTGAAGGAATTCTCATCACATATGTTATTTGGAGCTGCAGGGTAAACATCAGGACCTTGAGCTTAATTAATTCTCACTAAGACTTTATTCACCTTGGGGTACTAGTCATATCTGCCAAATCCAGCCTAAAGTCTAACATGTTACAAAACGCAATGCTAATGAAGTGCCTGTGGTTAAGAATATCTTATTCTTTGGATGTCATTGAGTTTTTAAATCCCGACCTGAGCACGTATCAAATAGCCAATTATAATGAACGGCCTGCATCGCTGCTAGAACAACACCTGAAGAGAGCTTTCATCGATAACACATTGACATGCAGAAGACATTTTAAACAGATCAATGGGAATATTTACCACAGCCGGCCGCAGCGAGCTCATCGCTGCCATCGGGACAGTCTCTCTCCCCGTCACATAACCAGCGCTTGGGGACGCATGCGTACGAGCCTGGACAACTGAATAACCCTGGGGCACAGGTCACCGAGCCTGGATAATATTTTGTTAGCAATGCACCATTAATTGTTTCTCAGGTCTATTGATTATAAATGACAGCCTACTTGAATATCTAGAGAAATCACGCAGTAATTTGTGAAAGCTTCTTAACAAATGCATTAAAGTTCTGAAAAGCATTTAATGTGTTTAATTGCATTTGCCATTATTAGGAACATAGCAATATCATTAATATCTCACTGACATTTCATTACAATCCAATCAAACGTTTGTTTACTACAAATATTTACTAATATATTAAACCATGATTGCATTTTCATAATTGGCCAATTTATAATAGTTGCACTGTATTTAGCCTGTGTATAAACTCAAATCATTCAAAAAGCTGCCTTTGAGGCACAGAAAAACAATATTTACAGTCACACAGAATGGAAGGACAGGTCACATGCGTACCGCAGAGGTCAACGCTCTCGTCCACCCCATCTCCACAGTCGTCTTCACCATCACAGAGCCATTGCTTCGCTATGCACTTGTTCTTCGAACAAGCAAACTGGTTCCAAAGACAGGAGGAGTCTATTAACAAAGGAGTTTGAGAGACACAAATAACAGTGCTTAGAAAATGACATCCACAATTTAGGACTCATCTCTAGCTGAATGCTTTTAGAGATGGTTTCTTTATTTCTAAATTCAGCAGACTTGGCTGTAGAGCTGTAGATTGCACTTATATTGCTTGTGCTCTCAAAAAAACAACGGCAACAAAACACTCTACAACCCCTTGCCATAAATACGTCAGTCTTTGTCAGAGTGGTTTTTACTTGAAGATGCAATGAAGCAGAATAATTGTTTTCTGCATTTTTTGTTGTGTAATCACACTTTTATCTGTCTTTCATCTCAAATATATAGAACTAGCTGACACATCTATCTCTGTTCTTTGTGTTGAGCAACAGCTTCACCCTATGAAAATTATTTTTTATGGCTTTTATTCCATGTCTGACAGCTCTGACTACGTCTACATGCTAGTGCACCTCTAAAAGTTGACAAAATAATATTTCAGTTCATATATGGATTTAAAACAGAATTTATGTTGTGTCAAAAGAGACGTGATCTATTAAAAAAAAATCTATTTAAAATAAATGCTGCTCTTTAGAAAGTTCTATTCATCAAAGAAAAAATAATTGTATCACCGTTCCCACAATATATTAAGAAGCACAACTATTTTCACCTGTTTTCAGTAAATAAATATTTCTTAAAAACCAAATAAACATATTAGAATGATTTCTGAAGGATCATGTGACACGGAAGACTGGAGAAATGGCTGCTGAAAATTCAGCTTTGCCATCACAGGATGAAAACTACATTTTAAACTATATTAAAATATGAACAGTCACTTTAAATTGTAATATTTTACAATATCACTGTATTTTTATCATATAAATGCAGCCTTGGTGAGCATAACAGACTTACAAAAACTTTATACCATTATCTTTTGAATGGTACTGTACCTCAACACACAAGCCTAAAATATTTTTTATAACATTCTTTCATGATCAAAAATAGCTCACAGATCTGATGGAATATAATTATACATTAACGTAATTATATACTACAACATGCCCATGCATGTGCAAATTGCGGTAGCAGGAAAGCAGATGACAAAGATGACAGTTTATATCTAAGCCAATTTTTTTTCCCCTTTCAGTTCTATTCTAGACAGACTCCGCCTGCCAAAAGAGTTAGAGTGGTCCACTCCTGGGGTTACACCATGGAGAATGAAATTAAGGGTCACAGCAGGAAAGATTGGTCTCACTTCCTGATGCTCTCTTGCTGTATCTGCAGATATCCTATCTCTATTCACAGTGCTGACGGTGAGCAAAGATGTTATGTCATCTTAAGGAGAAAAACATCCTTTCAATTCCAGGTACATAGGTGGTTAAAAAAGTAATTAATTTATTCCAAATCTATCTATCTATCTATCTATCTATCTATCTATCTGCAGAATATCTTAGTATTTGATTTGTCCTCTTTTTTCCTCTTTAATGACAGCAGTCAGGCAGCATACACTGAAAACCTGTTCTCCAGCATGATTTGAGATCTATCCAAAGAGCATATTGTGCTTTAATGGAAATGAGAACATTTGACATCCGTACAAAGCAGGGTTATTATAGTTAACTAAAACTGAAACTAAAATGTGCACCATAAAAAATATTATTCAGTTTTATTTGAAATAAATGTAATAACTTTAACTGAAATGAAGTATAAAAACATTTTTCAGACTTTAAAAGGTTTCAGCTAGTTGCCAAGGCAACGTTTTTCATTTTAAATTAGCTAAACTTGATGTACTAAAATAACTAAAAATGAAATAAAAATGAATAAAAACTATATACACTCTAAAAAAACACACATGTACTGTATGAATATGACAGAATTTTCTGTATTGGTTTTTACAGGTGTTTCACCTGTATTTTGAATTTTGCACTGCATTTTGTTATGTATTAAAGTTAATGGAAATGTCTGTAAAATTAATGGATAAAGTCCTGTCAGAAAATTACAAGTGCGTTTTCCATCCATCCATCCATCCATCCATC